TCTCCTACCCCTCACCCCAGCAAACATACTGTAGTTCACTTGCTTATTTTTGTTATATGTCAGTGTTTCCTTTAGACTTTAAGCTACAGTGGGTAGAGCATGATTATCTTTGGTTCATCAGTTCAAATCCAGTTTCTTGCACTTTGCCCAATCTATAGCAGGTCCTGAATACACCATGAGTTGAATGTATGTATGTCAGTACACAGGCAGCTGGGGTATATTTAGAGATACGGAGTTTCATCTGTGTTTGGAGTATAGGTGATTGGGAAAATGAACTATAGAGAAGTTAAGTGATTGTCAAATATTTTTTTCCATGCAGATTTTCCTAACTGTGGTAAATTTCTTCTGTATTTTGTCTATATCAGTGCTAAAGTCCTGATTGTGATATTGTGTTACAATTTTTTAAGATGTTACTGTTAGAGGAAATTGGGTAAAGGGTATACAGGATCCCTCTGTTTGTGAATCTGCAGTTGTATATATTTTTAATCTGCCCTCCTCATATTCTACCCAGGCTCTGTACAGTTGTCTTAAAATAAAAAGTTTTTAAAAATTATGGGCAGAAAATTTAAAATATTATTTGTAAAAAAAAACTCTGAGGAGTAATATTCTGGAATGTTATGATACAGAATTGCATTTATGGTACATAATTTTCTGCAGGAAAGGTTGGGAAATGCAGCTTACATTGCTGAATCCCAGTGTGTATGTCCTTTATAAAAAGGAGGGCTTTGCCATTGTGTTTATCCTGGAACATGTTTACTAACTTTTTTGGTAAAACTGTCTTCCCTTATTATTTTTCTATACTTGTATAGGAAAAGCCCAGATGTTTTGAGAGATTTTTTTGGATTGTGGTGGCAACTAAAGTTGGTTCTTAGTTGTTAGAACCCTTTCTCCCTGTTGTACTAACTTCCTCAAAGTCAGAGTGGGAGGCTTTCCTTATTCGTATTTTTAGTTGTGGTGTAAAGCCCAACCCCAGCAGGCATTCCTAATCTGTTGACTGAATAGCCTCTTGTAGGTGTAGGTCGATATATCTCTAGTGGAATTTTCATCCATGGACAATAGGACAGCTGACCTATCATCTTAGTTTTCTCAAGTATGTAGATTGTTATAATATTATATCTTTAAAAATATATGAATATGACCATTTTACCAGATTTTTATAACTATTCTGATAATGTTAGTTATTTTTATGTGGTTCTGAAGGAATACTTAGTGTTTTGTAATATATTTGTTTGATGTAAGAAATTAATTTAGAAAGTAGCATGTTTACTAACATGGAAAAATAGTAATTTACCTCTGTTTCTTTAAGTCTTAAGGAAATATGATTGATTTTTTTGAGTTTTATTTAAAAATTTTTTTATAGTTGTAGATAGATAGAATTCCTTTATTTGTTTAGTTTTTTATGCCGTGCTAAGGATAGAACCCAGTGCCTCACACATTCTAGGCAAGCACTCTTCCACTGAGCTATAGTCCTAGCCCAAGTTCCATATTTTTTAAATGAGAGATCTCTTTTCCTTGATGATTATAATATTTATTAATGTTTCAGTTTGTCATTCTTGGTATTTTCATCACATTTTGAGTTTTAAGAATACATATCCTTGAGAACTTAAAAAAACAATAGAATCAACACTAGATTTATTTTTTTAGTTAATTTCAGTACATTTTTGTTTGAGTTAGATCAATTTTATTTCACAACTTATTTGGAATACCCAGGGGATATAATTAAATAACTTTGGGAACCATCCTTAATATAATTTTTGGAATAGAAGAAAATACACTGTAACTTTCGTTTACTTTTCTGGTGGAGTGTCCCCCCTGCCCCCAACAAGAAAGTACAGTTCCATTAAGATTCTTGGGTCATAGATCAGAGGCTTGGATCAACAAAAAGAAATGAACTTTTGGAAGAATTCTGATCCAATATCATGGGCCAGTTTAAACTACAATGTAAGCAATGGCAGGCAGCCTCATTCTCCCTATAAGGAAAGGCAACATTGCAGTTCATTAGAAAAGGAAAGTGTTTTTTCTTTTCTTTTTTGGTGTGTGTGTAGATAGGGGAGATTCCTCATGAAATGTTAGTTTATCTGACATTACTAAGCAGCTCTCAGTCCTCTTAGAAACAATCAAAAGGGAATGGGGGAAGGAAAGTGAAGTTGTGCTTAAGTAGAGTTAATATTTTGATTTGGGAATTTGTCCAGGGATAGTCAACTCTTGGTTCTCATACTAATGATAATGAGTAGCTGCAAAGAGAATACAAAAACAGGAATAAAAAAAAAACAATTTATTTTATCTTGGAGAGCATTTTGTGATTATTTTTGTTGTGGATTGAACTTCCTAATTGTGTTTTTCTTTACTTGCAATCCTGGAACACACAGTGATGGATATAAGGGGCAGACAGTCATGGAACAACCTCTAAGTAGAAGGAAATGACCTAAAAGCTTTTTTAAAAATATTACAGATAAACAACAAACCAATCCCAGTAATTAATACTTGGCTACTGGCTATACTTAAATAATTTTGATTTTCTTATTAAATTTCTTATTTCTTAACTGTTGTGGCCATTGTTTTGACTAAATGGGAATCTGTGATTTGTAGATATCAATTACTGATATTTTTTACTCAGATTTTCTTAATGAAAAGGAGGAAGTACACTACTTAACAGAAACATTTGTATCTTCCTCAATTATCTTAAAATCCTTCCTGCTTTAAAAAAAAACAAAAATCCTTGCTGAGCCTCAACTCTTCTTGTATCTCACTGAAGACTTATAGCAAATATGTCATTGGAAATTCCCTTCATATTCTTCTAGGGATCTCTGAAATTTGGTGGGGTAGGGAACTACAGTCTTCCCTCATAACACCTTGAGTTAGTAGTAAACCATTCCAGTGAATGATAGAAAAAGTCTGAGATTTGTATGCTCAAAATTCTGTAAGAAAGGATACATCGATAGGCTTTTTATGAGGTAGTTTAGATTGCATGAATTTAAAAACACACAGTATTAGAAAAGAACAAATTTTCACACCAAACTGTTTATAGTGTTAAAAAAAGGGAATAAAAAGTATCTGCCTGTGTCAGTTCAGGAGGAATAAAAATTATCAGTTGCTTATTTTGCTATGCAGTTTTTTTGATTACTTTCCAGAAACATTTAATTCCTTTGACAAAGGTGTTTTTCAAAAAATAACATCTGCCCACTGTAGTAAGTAATAAATACAGACATGTAAAATGATTCAAGTAAAATAACAAATCCATTGCCCCTCTTCTAGATAGAATGAGTGTTATATGTGTTGGTGATTTTTATTTTCCTCCAGAATTATCAGAAGTCCTTCCTCTCCTTCCTTCCCATCTTTTCTCTCTTCTTCTTCCCCTCTTTCCCCTGTCCACTCCCATTGGCTGTATCCCTAGTTCCAAAGTATATTATGTCACATTTTCTGGAGTTGTGCTTGCTATGCAAGTGGTCTACCTCTTGAGCTACTTCCCCAGCCTGAGGATATGCATTTTAAATTTTAATGAAGACTACCAAATTCTGTTTCACTTTGATCTCTTTCTGTTTACAATTTGAACTTTTGCCAATGCTGGGTGGTATAAGTCTTTTGAAAATCTTCTGTTTGCATAAAATTTTCTGTCACATAAATTCTTGTTCATATTTTGATGGCTAACATACTAAATTTTAGATTCAGTTGGAAGCAGATGTGACTTTTTTTTCAGTACTGTCTTTGTCCACAAACATGTTATGCCTTTACATTAATTTAGATCTTTTATGGCCTTCTGTCAAGTTTTGGGGTTGCTTTCCCGAAGGTCTTACTTATTTTAGTTTTATTCCTGAATAGTTTATTGTATTTTACTATTATGATTGGAATTAAATATATTCTTTTCTTTCTTTTATAATTTGAGGATTTGAACCCAGGGTCACTTTACCACTGATCTACATCCCCAGCATCTCGCCTCTCGAATTTCTTTAAATTTTGAGACAGGCCCTCATTACATTGCTGAGCCTGGTTTGAACTTGCAATCCTCTTGCTTTAGTGTCTTGAGCTGATGAGATTACCAGTGTGTGCCACCACACCTGGCTTGGAAAAATATATTTTCTAATTATTTATCACTATGTATAAAAAGGCTTTGATTTTTATCTTATTGCCATAGAACTGTGTCAAAATATTCTATTAGTTATAATAGTGTGTTAGTATTGCAATGTCAGTTGATTCTCTTTGATGTTCTAGAGCATCTTTACCCAATATAAATATAAGTCACATTTGTAAGTTTCTAGTAGTCTTATTAAAAAATAAAAAGAAACACGTGAAAGTAATTTTAATGATATACATTAACTCATTATATCCAAAATACATGTAAGCAGTATAACAAAGATAATATAGTAAGATATTTTACATTCTTCTTTTTCTGTATTAAATTGTCAGAATTCATTGTATATTTTATACCCACAGCATATTGCAATTTGAACTATATTTCACATGTTCCATAAATATAAGTGGCCAGGGGGTACTCTATTGGACAGTGCACTCTAAATCGACAATCATAATGTGTGCAAATAGTGAATATTTTTTTCCCTAACTTTTAAGAAGTCTTTTTTCCTTACCTTAATCTTGCTTGGAGTACCAGTAGTACAATGCTGATGCTGATGGTATTAATGGGACTAGTTCATGTGTTTATAGATTTGAGCACTGTGAATTATTGGTATCAAGTTGTACATGGAATTTTCTCATAATTATGCATATGCTTTCTTATGTAAAGAAGAATTTAGATAATTGTTAATTATCAATAATTAAGATTATTCTTAAATAATTATCTTTAACGGTTATCTATGTAGAGTTATGGAATTAGGAACTGATAGTCTTTAAAACATTTGAACAATAGAATTTTCAAATTATGAACTTGTTTTGCTCCTATAATAAAAAAGGTATTATTTCAAATTTTAAACATTAAAAAGTGTAGAATATTGTGCAGAAATGCATAAATTATTGATGACAGCAATCCTATGTGTTTTCTCTTCAAGCTGGACTCTGGACTGTGTTCACACTAGGAGGTGTGGGCAGCAAAGCGGCTGCCTCTCCAGAGCTTTCTTCCCCTCTGGCCAACCAGAGTCTCCTGCTTCTGCTGGTGCTGGCTAACCTGACAGATGCTCCAGATGCACCCAATCCCTACAGACAGGCCATTATGTCCTTTAAGAACACACAAGGTTTGTAATGTTTTTTTCTCTGAATATTCTTTCTAATGAGATTGTTGTTCACACCATATTGTTTATTGTCTTATAGATTTGGAGATGTATCAGTTTGTTATTTTCATATTGGTTAAAATTGAGAAAAACTTAGATTTTCCTGTCAATATTCTCAGGAAGGTCAAATGAATCTTAGAAGAGTGCTATGATCCTTTATATCCCTTTAAGTTTATATTTCTTTCAGAGATAACCAAACTAGCTTTGTTTAATTTGGCCAGCTTGTCCTCCTATTAGGGATACAGAATAATGACCTATGAAACCCAAATGGTAGGTTATCTTAAATTTTCATTTAAAGTCTATTCTAGTTAGAGTTTTATAGAACTAAAAATTAGATCAGAAATCAGCAAATATTAAGGAGCAGTAGCTTCACAAGGTCATCTGGTCTTTTCCTCTTAACTCTGCCGTTGCAATTGAAAAGCAACCATAGGTAACACAAGAAGGAACGAACTTGGCCACGTACCAGAAAATCTTTATTTCCAAAACAGATGGTGGGCTGTACTTCATTAACCCCTAAAGTAGAACATGAACAGATAGATATATTTTAAAATAGTAATCTCCTAACAAAAGGTAACATTCTGCAATTCTATAGTAGCTATATTATCAAGATGTATGCAATAGATATAGAAAATATGGTACATATACACAGTGGAGTTCTACTCAGCCATAAAGAAGAATAAAATTATGTCATTTGCTGGTAAATGGGTGGAACTGGAGAACATCATCCTAAGTAAAGTAAGCCAGAGGCAGAAAACCAGGGTGGAATGTTCTCCTTCCTATACAGATACTAGAGAGGAAAAGGAGGTAGAAAAGGAGGGGATTGATCTCTTGAAAACAGAAGAGAGAGCAGTATAGTAGAAGCAGGAGACTAATGGGGAGGGAGGAGGAGAGGGAAATGAGAAGAACTGGAGAATAAAGTTGACCAAATTATGCTATATGTATGCATAAATATATCACAGTGCATTCCAATTTTATATATAGCTATCATGTACCAATAAATAAGTAAATAGATGGAAAGAAGATAACAGAGTAGAGGAAGGGAATCAGAAGGGAGGAAGAGAAGGAGGGTGACAGCACTGGGGATTGAAATGGAGAAAACTGTTATATGCTTTTATGAATATGTCAAAATGAACCCCAGTAATAATGTATAAATGTAATGTCCTAAAACAGAGATTCACCCAACATTCATGTATTTAAGTTGTGCAAAATGTACATACATTGGGTAGGAACATTAAGGCTTCTGATGCTCTGTGCTATGTCTTTCCAGACTATTCTAACATGCATTTTTAATAGTCAGTGGATTAGTGTATAAATTAGTTGTATCTTTGCCAATTCTGGTATTATTTGCAGAGTATCTTAGCCCATTTGTGCTGCTGTAATTAAATACCTGAGACTGGGTAATTTATAAAGGACAGAAATTTATTCTCACAGTTTTGGGAAGATCAAAGGCTCCAAAGGTTTAAGTTTGGTGAGGAACTGAAAACTGCTTCTAAGATGGTACTATGGATAATGTGTTCTCACATGGCAGAAGAGATGGAAGGACTTAAAGAAGCCAACTGGCTGTGTGGAATCTCTTTTATGAGAGCTTTAACCCCATTCACAAGGGAGGAGCATTTAAGACCTAACCACCTCCTATAGGGCTCCCCTCTTAACACAATTGTTTTGGAGTCTAAGCTTCAACACTAGAATTCACGCCAGTAACACAGCGCAATAGGGACTCAATAATAGTTTGATGAACAAATAATGAAACCTCATACATCTGGTAGTACTTTTCTGTTCCATTACTACACTCCTCTTCCTGGTGACAATGTGACTTAATGGTTAAGTAAACAAATTTTAGAGCCAAACAGACCTGGGTTCACACCTCACCTTGGACACTTTAGAATGTGACCAAGTATCAAGTGACCTTTGATATTTCACATAATTAGTACACCTCAATGATTTTGTCTATGAAATGAAGATGATGCCACCTAATAGCATTTATGTAAATACTAAGAAAAATAAAATTTTAAAATGATCAATTCAGATTTTACCACATGGATAATAATCTATTATCTTAAATATGGAAAAGCCAGGGCACCATGTAGTAGAATGAAGGCATTTATAGATGCCTTCCTCTCCTGTCCATGGTTTCTACTGCTGTTACTGTGGCTGCTCTGGCCAAATATTAGTAAGCATTTTGGTTTGAACTTTGCTTGAGATAGTCATTTTTTAGGAGACCATGTAGTACAGAGATTAAAAAATTGGCTTTATGGTTTTTTTTTTCTTTTTTATTTCAATACCATTGCCCTTAATTGTAAAGCAGGGGTTATTATCTCTACTTCACATGATTTTTGTAAGAATTAACCGGGGTTTTACCATAGCACAAACTTACCACATTATTCCTGTTGTTATAGGAACCGATGTAATTATGAGGTTCATCTGGTTTTTACTCAAGGCTGACCTGAGAAAAGCTACTTATTCTCTCCAAGTCTTCATTTCATCCTTTGTCCAGCTGGTCAGATAAAGACATGGCTGTTGTTCACGTTGAGTAGGGGCTAGCAGGGGCTAGCAGGCAGAAAGCCGGCTGTGTGTTGGCTGGTAGCCCTTGCTACTGACGCTGTGGAGGCACTCAGTACCGTCAGCTGTGCTACAGCTCAGTGAACATGCTGCTCTGCTTCCACTTTAAAGAGGTTCAGAGTGTCCAGAGTCTTTTCCAGTGAGTCTTCTGCAATATTTGCATACTTACAGTAGAAGACAAACTTCTTTTTGCCATCCTTTGCAAGAATTCAGTCACACAAAGGCATTATTTTTATAAGTGTCAAAATGATAGTGTTAAGATTGAAAAAATAATCTATTATTTCAAATGTGGAAAAGCCAGGGCACCATGTAGTAGAAGTGAAGGCATTTATAGATGCCTTCCTTTCACAAACACAAAGTGCAGGAAGGAGAATCAGAGGTACAGGGCCACCAGGGTTTTTGGTGTTCAGACATAACTCTTTTCCACAAGAGCATGGCTTTCAGGAATGGTAAATGTTTTGCTTTATTGGTGGCAACTTTACTCTGTGTGTGTGTGTGTGTGTGTGTGTGTGTGTGTGTGTGTGTAATTGTAGTTGGACACAATATCTTTACTTTTTTTTTTACATGATGCTGAGGATCAAACCCAGCGCCTCGCATGTGCTAGATGAGAGCTCTACCACAACCCTAGCCCCTGCTTTCATGTTTTTAAGAGATTTTTGGTGCTTATTTTCAGCACACATGAAAGTGTCAGCTCTTTGTAGTGTCACATTCCCTTGTTTTATCTCAGGAGATTATGACTTTCTGTTGAACCTATCTTTATCTCCTAAATCTAACCTTCCTTCAGTTTCTACACAAATCCTGTGAACTATAGAAAAAGGACCATGTCTGTTTTAGAATATGAAGAATTTTCTCAGAGTAGACTATGATTTATGCTTTTTATCATTCCAGTGACCATTCTTTAAAAAAGAAGAAGAAATTTTTTAGCAGTTATGGTCAATTAGCTTTGTTCTCTTTTAAACAAAATGTTATAGAAATTTTCTAGTAGTTGTCTTAGGCTTGGTATGTTCTGTACATTAGAGAAACTAATGTTGAATGTGTTTTGATTTGGGTATTATTTTAAAACTTGCTAAATTATTTGTTGTTTTTCTATCCATATTTAGAAATGGGTTAATAACATTAGTGAATACTTCAGCCATGATTTATTTGTTTGCAGTAAATGCACTTAACTTCAAGGCAGGTTTTTTTGTAAACCCTATCTTATAAGAAGATTTCCTTTTTACATAGAAGCTGTATTATTTGGTTTTTAGATATTTTTATTTAGTATTGGTGCTTTTGTTTTGATGTCAAGGGATCTCAGTATCTTGGTTAAATGGTATTTATGGAAGGACCTTTTGCCCCATGGCACTGTTTAAATGCATGTTCTTAGCTGATTTAGTTCAGCTCTATTTATGGTAACAAAGTAACAGAGTCAAACTATGTAACTTATTTTAGTAAAGTTTAAAATATAATTTGGAATTTTGGCTCTGAAATGTAGGGATTTTACTTAAAGCTAAGAGAAATTGATTTGTATGCATTTTTTTCACAGTGCTTTTATTGTTTGTACAAAAAACATGGTCCAGAAAATACTCATGCACTGTTTTTTAAAAATCTGCTTGTTTTTTGTATTCTAGATAGCAGCCCTTTCCCCTCAACAATTCCACATGCCTTCCAGATTAACTTTAACAGTTTGTACACAGCCCTATGTGAACAGCAAACATCTGATCAAGCAACGCTCCTCTTGTACACACTGCTCCATCAGAATAGTAATGTCAGAACATACATGCTGGCTCGAACAGATATGGAAAATCTTGTAAGTATCATGCTAAACCTCCCACATTTTGTGTGTTTTATAATATTTTGAAGAATAATTTCTTTTCCCAAGAGGGTAAGTATATTTGCCTGGTTGCCACACAGATTGATGGTTAACAAGTTGATAGGGAAAATGTCACTAGGCACAGGCAAAGGCCTGCATTGCTTCGGTGTGTGAGACTCCTCTCAGCAGTGGCCTCACAGAGCTGAGCACAGCCACATCCTCAGCTGGTGCCAGGCTTCCCAGTTCTTGGGGCCTTTAGCAGACACTCACTGCTCAGGATTCAGCCTGATTAAAGTCTTCTAAGAAGCATCCTCTGCAATTCTCAAGATTTTTATTTCTTCTTGGTCCCTTCCATCTGCTAGCTGCCTGCCCACCATGTTAGTGTAATTGGTCACAGTTGCAGCATCTTCCTGAGGAGAATGGCTGAAAGGAAAGGTGATAGTGTTCTATCCTCATGAAGGCTTGGACTCTAGCTCTGTCTGAACACAGTTCCTGGCCTGTTATAGTTAGTTATTTTAAGGTACCTTACTGAACGTCTCCCAACTCAAGATACTTTACCATTGAGCCACATCCCTTGGTCCTTTTTAAAACATTTTTATTTTGAAACAGGATTTCATTAAGTTTTCCAGGCTGACCTCAAAATTGCAATCCTCCTGCTTCATCCTCCATAGTTGCTGGGATTACAGACTTGCACCACTGAACTCAGCTAGACATCTCTTTAATGAACAGTGTTTTTTCATTATGTGAATGAAATTGGTTCCACAATATTTATCTCTAGATATAAACTCCTATAAGCAATCATTGATTTCCATTATAACTAATGTGTAAGACATTAGCCATCTTACTAAGGTATGTTTGATGTCTTATCATATACAGATAACTGTGGACTGTTATTGTGCTTGTCCAATTTTATTGTTGTTAACATTCTTTAATCTATAAACTCTGATATTCAGATGGCAATGTATTAATGCATTCATAAAAAATGTGAACATTCCTGAAATAGCCTGCAGCTGGCTGAGAGCAACAGAATGTCCCCTCTTCCCCAGTTTTTACAGATTGATAAGAAATTTGGTGGCCATTTGTTTCAGTGTTAAAGTGCTATGTAAATACTGAAGAAACATGAGCTTTTGGAATTCACTGAGCATATTCTGCATCACAGTGACACTATGAACAGAAAGTGTGATGAAAGAACCTGTCTCCTCACGAGTGACGTGTGGAAAACATATTTTGTTTAAATAGCAAAATTGGGTGTAAAATTGTACTTCTCTGGAGTATGAACTTGTAAAGAGAAGGTTTGTTTCTCATAGATATGAATAAGCACAGAGACAAGTCTAAGCGGGTTGCATTCTAACAGAAATGTATTAAGCAGAAAGCCCAGGACATCACCGTTTCAGTGTTCTATGGTGAGGATACGAGTATGCAAGATGAGGCAGGGAGCTGCAGCTGTTTGTCCTTGACAACACACAGAGAATGCTGGCAGGGTTTTGTTCTGAGGTTTTTAGGGGGATGGAGTAGCCTTTGTTTTAGTTTTGTTTTTAATTTTCTTTCATAGATTACTTTGATAATTTTAAAATTTGTGTCCCCATGTGTCCTTTTGCCTTTCTTAGAAAACATGTTATCAGTTGGAATTTATTGAACTGAGGATTTTGCTATTGTTAACATTATTTAATTCTCTAGACTCTGATATTAAGAAGACAATGTTAGGAGGCTGGGGTTGTGGCTCAGTGGTAGAATGCCCGCCTAGCACGTGTGAGGCGCTGGGTTCCATCCTCAGCACCATATAAAAAGTAAATAAATAAAATAAAGGTATTATGTCCATTTAAAAAAAGAAGAAGAAGAAGACAATGTTAGGCATATCACAGTGTCTCTCAGAATACCTTGTAGTGTACAGGTGCTTGTGAGGCTGGAGGAACTCCTTCTCCCTACAATGTCAAGTGTAGACTGACTTGAGCTCTTTGTACTGGTGCTTTGACTTAATAGCTCTTTGACTTCTTTTAACTCAAGTACTCCTTAATCTGGTCTAACTTCTTGTGATGCATTTTTAAATTAGTATTTATTAGAATAACAATGCAATGACTTCTAAATTTCTTTTTGTATCTATGAATAGTGTTTTAGGCAGAATCCAAGTACCCAAATGTTAAGAATAGAATTAAAGAAGGGAAACTTTTTAGGAAAAAACCTATACTGATGTGATGTTTTTAAGATTTTATCATCACAAGCAAAGTAGTTTATCCATGAAAGTAGCTAGACATCTTAAATGTCACAATTCTATTAGTTGTAAGTAACAAACTTCTTTATGTCTGCCTTGAGTGAAAAGAAATGTTTTGGCACAAATGAAAAACTCATGAAGCTTTTTAGCTTCAGTCATGGCTAGATCTAGGGGCTAAACATTTCCATCCCTTGCCTCTGCTTTCCAAAGTAAATGCTTAAACAAGAAAGCCTTGGCCTTGTTGTCAGGCATACACTTTGAAATGGAGAGAGAGGGGACCATGTGTAGCTCAGAGCTCGTGTCTATATTATCATTTGTAAGCCAGAAGGAAGAAAATTTACATCTACTATTCATAAAAATTTCATGAAGTGCTCCAGAATTCCTTTTTTGGGCCATGTGCTCACTTCCTTGACCAATCACTATGGAATGGAGCCCTCTTTCTTAATAATTAGCCCTCTTAACCTTTAACAAAAGGATTTTGTTTGTTCTTTCTTTCTCTTTCCACATTTTTTTATTGGTGTATTATAGTAGTGCATATTGGTGGGATTTGTTGTTACATATGCATATAACAATATAATTTCCCAGTATTGTTCCCCCTTTCTCCCCTCTTTCCATCCTCTGGTCTTCTTCCTCTGCTGATCTCCCTTTAGTTTTCATAAGACACCCCTCACCCCCCGACCCCCACGCCTTTCTTTTTCTTTTACCTAACTTCCTCATATGAGAGAAAATATAGGACCCTTGACTTTGGCTTATTTCACATAATATAACATAATGGTCTTAAGTTCTATCCATTTTCCTGCAAATGACATAATTTTATTTTTCTTTATAGCTGAATAAATAATACTCCACCGTGTATATATGAAACAGTTTCTTCATCCATTCATCTGTTGATGGATACCTAGGCTGGTTCCATAGTTTGGCTGTTATGTATCATGCTGCTATAAACACGGATATGCATATATTACTATAGTTTGATGACATTAATTATTTGGGGTAAATACCAAAGAGTGGTATAGCTGGATTATATGGTGGTTCCATGCCTAGTCTTTTGAGAAACCTGCATACTGAGTTCCATTGTGGTTGTACTAATTTACATTTCCACCAACAGTATAGAAGTGTTTTTTTTCCCCCACATCCTCTCCAGCATTTATTATTGTTTGTATTCTTGACGACTGCCATTCTGACTGATGTGAAATAAAATCTCATTGTAGTTTTGATTTGCATTTCCCTGATTGCTAATGATATTGAAACTTTTTCATGTATTTATTGTTCATTTGTATTTCTTCTTTTGAGAAGTGCCTGCTTAGTTTATTTGCCCATTTAGTAATTGGGTTATTTGTTTTCTTGTATTTATATATTCTGTATATTAATCCCATGTCAGAAGAACAGCTAGCAAAGATATTTCCCCATTCTATTCTGTAGATTCTCTCTTCACATTCCTAGTTTTTTCTTTTACTGTTCAGAAGCTTTTATTTATTTATTTTTCTTTCATGTCCATCTGTGTGGATTTTTTAAATTTATTTTTATTTTTTATTGTTGGTTGTTCAAAACATTACATAGTTCTTGATATATCATATTTCACACTTTGATTCAAGTGGGTTATGAACTCCCATTTTTACCCGATATACAGATTGCAGAATCACATCAGTTACACTTCCATTGATTTACATATTGCCATACTAGTGTCTGTTGTATTCTGCTGCCTTTCCTATCCTCTACTATCCCCTCTCCCCTCCCCTCCCCTCTTCTCTCTCTACCCCCTCTACTGTAATTGTTCAGAAGCTTTTAAATTTAATGTTGTCCTGTTTATTAACTCTTGGCATGATTTCTTTAGCTTTAGGGGTCATATTGAGAAAGTCATTGTCTGTGCCTATACTTTGGAGTGTTGATCCTATCTTTTCTTCTAGGGGTTGATTGTTTCTGTTCTAATTCCTAAGTGTTTGATCCATTTTGGGTTGGTTTTTGTGCATGTTGAGAGATAAGGGTCTAATATCATTCTTCTACATATGGATAATCAGTTTTCTTAACACCATTTGTCAAGGATCAAATGACTGTAGATGTGTGTGTTTGTCTCTGTTTCTTATATTCTGTACCATCTATATGTCTGTTTTTGTGCCAGTACCATGCAATTTTTGTTACTATAACTCTGTAGTATAATTGAAAGTCAGGTATTGTGATGACTCTGGTATTGCTTTTTTTGGTTTAAAATTGCTTTGTATTCTGGGTCTTTTATTCTGCCAAATGAATTTTAGGATTTTTTTTCTAGTTATGTGAAGAATGTCATTGGTATTTTAATGGGTATTGCATTGAATCTGTATATTGCTTTTGGTAGTAAGAACACTTTAACAATATTAATTCTGCCTCTCCCTGAACATGGGAGGTCTTTCCATTCTCTTGAGTTTTTCTTTCATATCTTTCTTCAATGTACAAGAGGATTTCTTAAAAGGGATTCTGGACAAATAAGATATACTCACTGGAACATTGCATTATTTGTAACTTCTTTAATTAGGTGATTATGAGTTAGTTACCATTTAAATTTCTGTTTAGTTCATCAGTCAGGTAGAGATTTTGTGGACATTTCCCTTAAGCCTCTACCAGTCTTATGTTCTTGGATCAGGCCTTGAACCTGCATATATACTGTACATGTGGAAGTCATGTCATATTTATAGCTTACAAGCTTAAAACTTTACTGAAGAGACACATAGAAAATGAGATTGGTATTTACTGGTGACATGAAGTCTCTATGTCATGAATTATCAAAACAAGTTACATAAGGATTTTTATATCT